TGGCAAAGGAAACCACTAACATTCCATAAACACATGGAAATTAAACAACACCCTCCTGAACAAGCAACAGGTCACAGAGGATATTAAACAGTATCTACAATTAAATGACAATGCCGACACAACATACCACGACTTATGAGACAAAATGAAAGCAGTCCTAAGAGGGAAATTCATAGCAGTGAACTCTCACATCTGGAAAACAGAGCAACCTCAAATAAACAACCTAATGTTGAAACTCAGACTTCTAAAAAAACAAGAACAAGTCAACCCCAAAGCTCACATGAAATTATACAGATTAGAGCAGAAATTAATGCAATTGAGACTAAGAAAACAATATAAAGAATCAATGAATCAAAGAGTTGGTTCCTCAAAAGATTAAGAAAAATTGATAACACTTATCCAACATTATCAAAACATGGAAAGAAAAAACTGAAATTCATGCAATTAGGAATGAAAAATGGTGAAATCACAATAGATTCTGTGGAAATCCAGATGATCATCATTACCTACTTTGAGAACTTTTACTCTAATAAGATGGAAAACACAGAAGAAATGGAGAGGTTCCTAAATACATATGAATTACCAAAGCTGAACCAAGAAGACATAAACATTCTAAATGAACAGTATCAGTCAGCAAAATTGAAAATGTACTTAAAATTACCTACAAAATAAGCCCAGATCCTATTAGATTCATGGCTGAATTCTACCAGAAATTTACAGAAGATCTAATGTCACTACTCTTCAAACTTGTTAATGAAATTGAAAGGGGAGGAATACTTCCAAGGTCATTCCTGGGAGCAAATATTATCCTGATACCAAAACCACAGAAGGATCCAGCCAAAAAAGAGAACTACTGGCCAATCTCCCTAATGAACATAGACACAAAAATCCTCAATCAGACACTGGAAACATAATGCAACAAATCATCAAGAAGATCATACACCATGAGCAAGTAGGATTCATTCCCGGGATGCAAGAATGATTCAACACACACAAATCAATAAATGATAAACATCATATCAACAGAGCCAAAGACAAAAATCACATAATCACCTCAATAGATGTAGAAAAAGTATTTAACAAAGTTCAACAAGAATTTATGATAAAACTCTACAGAAAATTGAAATTGATTACCTTTACCTCAATCTGACAATAGTCATCTATGACAAACCAATAGCCAACAAAATACTAAATGGTCAAAAATTGAAATCTTTCACTGTAAAATCAAGAACAAGACAGGGACATCCACTATCACTCCTCCTACTCAACATAGTTCTGGAAACAGCCAGAGCAATTACAGAAGAAAAAGAAATAAACAGAATTGAGATAGGAAAGGAAGCAGTGAAAGTATGATTATTTGCATATGAGATCATTCTCTCCATAAAAGACCCAAAAAAGTCTAACAAAAAGCTTCTGGATTTAATAGCCAAATTCAGTAGCATAGCTAGATATAAAATTAACACTCAAAAGTCAGTAGTATTCCTGTACACAAATAACCTCACTGTGAAAGAAATTAAGGAAACAACACTTTTCAGAATAGCATCCTCCAAAAATAAAACACTTAGGAATCAATCTAAAAAAGGAAATAATTGACATATACATTGAAGATTACAGTACTCAGAAAAAGGAGATCAAGGGGGATATCAGAAGACGGAAAGATATCCCCTGCTTTTCGGTAGTAGAAACCAACATAGGGAAAATGGCCATATTCCCAAAATTGTTATACAGATTTAATGCAATCCCAATTAAAATATAATGATCATACCTTACAGAACTAGATAAAACATTCTTAAAATTCATTTGGAACCAGAAGAAACCTAGAACATCAAAAACAATTCTGGGCAACAAAGGTAAGGCAGGGCTCATCACAATTTCTGACTTAAAAGTATGCTACAAAGTTACTGTGATAAATGTTTGACATGCTGGTCATCCCAGAGATGCAAATTAAAGACTACATCTCCTGAGCTTACATCTCACTGCAGGCAGAATGGCTTTTATCAAGAAATCATCCAACAACAAATGCTGGTGGGACTGTAGGGAGAAAGGAACCCTTCTCGCTGTTGGTGGGAGTACAGACTTCCACAAACACTGTATAAATCAGTGTGGACATTCTCCAAAAAATTAAAATTACAGGTTCCATTTGACCCAGGCATTCCCCTGATGGGTGTCTTCCTGAAAGAATTAAATTCATTGTACCACAACCATATATATCCACCTATGTTTATAGGAACACAGGTTATAATACCTATATCTTGAAAACAACCCAAGTGCCCATCAACTGATGCATGGATAGAAAAAGATGTAGTTTTTTCTACAGTGGAGTACTACTCAGCCATAAAGAAAGATAAACTGGAGACATTTATAGCTAAATGGGTGCAACTTGAGACTACAATCTTATGTGAAATAAATCAGATATTCGTGTAAATATCACATTGTCTCTCTTGGAGAAAGTGAAAGCATAAATAAGACCCAAAATGCATGAGAGATAATATAAAATAAGAAGAAACTGTTGAAAAGGAAAGGGAAAAGCGAAAGAGGGAAGAAAAAGGAAGAGAAAAGGAAAAATGTAAAAAGAAAGAAAAAAGTGGAAACAGCACTTCTGCAATTAAAGAGGGGAGGGGGCTGAAGGGAGGGCAGTGCCCTCAGAGAAAATGAGGAATGAAGATATATCATGTACAGGTACAAATTCCCTTTGATGAATGTGACTGCTATGTATATTTAAATTGTACCAATATAATTAATTTTTAAGAAAAAAAGTGTTTAGAAAAAATTTGGTATATACATACAATGGGATATTGCTTTACCTTTGAAAACAGGAAATTCTGACATGCTGCTACATGATTGAATCTAGAAAAGATTGTAAAAGTGACATAAGTCAACCTCAATAGCACAAATAATGTCATATTCTATTTCTCTGAGATATTTGAGTAGTTAAATATGTAGAGACAAGAAGTGGACTCTTGATTTCCAGGGTCTGTGTGCATGCAAGTATAGGTAGACATTACTCAGAAGGTCCAGTCTAAGTTTGATAGATGAAAAGATTCTAGGGAATAGTGGAGGTTATGTTGGATAACAATATGAGTCCACATAATACCACTGAATGATGGACTTAAATATGGGTAAAACAGTAAATTTTATAATGCATCTGTCTTACCATTTAAAAAGTATAAGAAAAGTGGAAGAGACACTGCCTAAAATAACTCAACATGATGATTTCTTCCTTTGAAAAAACACCCAGAGTATTATGTAGCTGCACTAGTGCTCCCAGCCTCTACCCCATCCTTCCCTAAGTGGACAGCCAGGAAGAGGAGCAAGAAGGGGCAGCACACTCCTGCAGAGCTGCCAGGTGCACAGCACTGCATGACATTTCTCTGGGGAGTGACAGCAGTGTCATTACTGAACATATTGGAAGACAGACAGAATGGCAGGGGAGACTGGCCAGGAAGTGGGTGCATTCCACAGCCATCGCCCTGGGACCAAGTAATTGAGAAAATCAGCTGAATGGAGGAAGATTTACTGTGGCTCCCAGTGCCAAAGATTTAAGTCCACAGTCAGCTGTTCCACTGCCATTGGGCCTGAGGTCAGAGGATCAAGTGGAATGGCAAGGGAGAGGACAGCTGCATTCCTCATGGTGGCACATGGCAGAGAGAGCCAGACAGGAAGGGCAGGGATGAGATACAGCACCAGGGCATTCTCCACAGCCCATTATCTCCAGCTGGGTGCTGGCTCCCAGGCTTCTTAAACTCCCAATGATGCCATCAGACTACCCTCTGGATTAACCCACTGATGAAGTGAGAACATTCATGATCAAACCACCCTGACACTCCACCTCTGAACACATGAGCCAGCTGCACCCTTTCTAGGCCCAAAACCACAGTAAACCACTTCAGGCTCCCAAATTCTCATGTCCATATCTTTATGCAAAACACTATTTGTCCATCTCCAGGAGTCCTCTGAACTTAACAGTTCCAGCACTGCTCCAACTCCAAGTCAGAGTATATTACTAAATGTACAAACTTGCCTAAAGGAAACCCATTTGTCAGTATAACTAGTACACACTGATTTTAAAAAAATGGTGAAAAAAATTCCAAGTCCAGAGTTTTCCCTGGGGCTCAAGGCAATCCTTGGCTGGGAGCTCCTTTGAAAGCAAAAAAGCAAGTTCCATACCTCCAACATACAACTGTACGACAGGCATAGGGTAAACATTCCCAATCCAAAAAAACAATGGGCAGGAAAATAGCAAGGAGGAAGCCAAACCCAGCAGGGGAAGTATTAAACCCCAAAGCTGCAGCCCAGCACCCAGGAAAGCTGAGCATGGAGAAATGAATCTGAGGGAAAAAATGCTCTAGGCAGATCTGCTCAAAGACAGAACTCAGTGGTTCTCTTCCCAAATGAAAGATTTATACTATACATATTTGACCACATGTACTTGGGATCATGCTGATTCCTAAGATGCCTACAAAGCATCTTTTCTCTTGTCCCTTTTTAAAGTACAGTGTTCATGCCATAGACTGGGTACTGTTCCCCATGAAATTTCCTGTGTCAGAATAAGTAGTCTATCACCCTTAAAATCAGCCTTTCACAATGTCTCAGAGAATGGACAAAATTCACACAAGTGCTTTGTTAACCTGTAAGATGAAAGGACTCTGGACCAATTTCCAAGACAATACACTTTTCTTCCTAAAACCTCATCAACAGAGACTTTAGTGTCTGCATTCTAGGAGCCTATCAGCCTCCTGAGATCACACTAGAATCATACTCTGTAGGACAGCTCCATCCCTCTTTCAAAGTCAAGGGATAGGTAATAATTATACAGCAGCAGTGTGATATTTGAGGACATGTCCTAATACTCATGGGAATCATCCCAATAACAAAAAGAAAGAACATAAGAATTAGGCATAGGATTATAGAAATAGGAAAGCAAAGTTCATCTTCATCTTCATTTTCATCCTTATCTTTTTCCTTACAGATATATATATCTGTTTGTAAAAACAAATGCCATGGAAATGGAAAATGCAAGTTTTCCTAACACTTTTATCCTGTTGGGCTTCTCTGAGTTTCCATGGTTGGAGAGGCCCCTCTCTGCAGTGGTCCTTGTCTCCTACCTCCTCACCCTGGTGGGGAATAGCTCCATCATCCTCCTCTCTCTGCTGGACCCCAGACTCCAGATGCCCATGTACTTCTTCCTGGACAACCTCTCTCTACTGGACCTCAGTGTAACCTGTACCACTGTGCCCCAGCTGCTGGTCAATCTCTTGGGAGCAGACCACACAATTGCTGCCTGGGGCTGCATCACACAACTCTATGTTTATACCTGGACGGGTGCCACTGAATGCATCCTGCTGGCCATGATGGCCATTGATCGCTATATGGCCATCTGCCGGCCCCTCCAGTACACTCTCACCATGCATCCATGGGTTTGTGCACAGATGGCAGCTGCCTCCTGGTCCAGTGGCCTGGCCAGTTCTCTGCTCCATGCCACACTTACCCTCCAGCTCCCCCTCTGTGGGCACCACAGCCTGGACCACTTCTTCTGTGAGGTGCCTGTGCTCATCAAGCTGTCCTGTGGGGACACCTCAGCTAATGAGCTGGCCTTGGCTTTAGGAGCCATCCCATTTGGAATAGTGGCTCCCCTGATGGTGGTCATCTCCTACATCTTTATTGCCAGGGCTATACTGAAACTACCTACACCTGAAGGAAGACACAAGGCACTCAGCACCTGCAGTTCCCACTTGCTGGTGGTCACCATGTACTTTGGACCAGGCATCTACATGTACCTCCAACCCCCAGCAAAGAGCACACATGCCAAGTTCATGTCCTTCTTCTACTGCATTATCACCCCAGTGCTCAACCCACTCATCTACACCCTGAGAAACAAGGATGTGAAGATAGCATGGAAGAGAGTCCTGCAATCCCAGGGTGAGGTGAAGTCTTGTAAACCCAGAAGATCCTTGCCTGTATCTTGAGCAACTACATACACACATCCATGAATACTGGCATATTCTATCTGCTCTTCCAAGCAAGTATCTATAACTTCAAAGAAAAGAATTCCCTTCTCCAAAATTTATTTATTATAATAACATGAGAAAAATTTTGGTAAGAAAGTTGTCCTCTGGATTCATCAATAGGCTAATTGTGCTTTTTCTCAATCAGCCCCACATTTTGTATGCCATAGACACAGTAAGCAGCATGATCCATTCATTTATAGTTACCTGCACATTATTGGTGATTGCCACACCATTCCCAATAGACAAGGCGTGGAATAAAACTAAGTATGAATGATGAATGAAGGCAAAATAAAATGTAGTATGTGTGTACAAAGGAATATTATTTGGGCCCACAAAAACAAATTCCTCCATTTGTGATAACATGTATAGAATTGAAGTAGTTGGTGAAATAAGCTAAACACAGAAACATAAACATTACCTATTCTCACTTCTACATGGAGTATAAACAATTCTTTAAAACTAGGTTGCTATTTGATAAAATGAAGAAATGATCATTAGAGAGTAATGTCTATGTCACAGCATGCACTTGCATTAATACATTTTTATAAAAATCTGGACTGGAATGATAGGTAAATGGAGTTTTGGAAAATATATCCCAACTTACTATATGAGCCGCTCCGGTCCTCATTTGCAAATGAACCAGGCTTATCAAATATATTTTTCATCTGAAAGAATCTCTGTACTTTTTAATCAAATGTCTTAATCATGCATTTCTATGACATCTCTCTCATATTTGGATGTTAATAATAAAGCTGATATTAACAAAGAGGTGAGGAATAAAGGGAGGTGGTGGCTGCAGTTGATGGATGTGGAGGGATGAGAGGGAGGCGTCCTGAGCCTCAGCATGTTCATCTCTGGAGGGACCAGGCCATGCTGCCTATAGTACCTTACACCTAAGCCCTCTGCACTTTCAGTGCTGTTTGTCACACATGACGCCTTTTCCTAGTCTCCTGTCTTTTCCATGGGAGTTTTTTCCACACTGCAATGCTCTTTAGGATGAAGTGCACACTGCAAGGCCGACTCTTCACTCATAACTTCCAGGCTGTCAACAAGCATGTGAATTTGTTTATGTGTGACTGCGACAGTTTCAGCAAGATCAAAACAAAGGACTCTAAACAAGCAGAAAGGGAGGAGAAACCAGTCCTCAGTCTGGTGCTGCTGTGAGGGGTTAACCTGGTCTTGGTGACAGTAAAAGGACCTCCTCCCAAAGGGACTGGCATTGCCTGAGTACCCCTTGCTGGAGCTACTGTGGCCCAGGAATCATTAGAGCTGGTGATAGAGGCATCCTGGCTGGGGTTTCCATACCACAGGATCTTGCAGTATTTCCTTGGCTAGTCCATGGGATGGGTGGGGCATCCCAACAGGTCATGACCCCACAAAGAAGAGGCACTGTGGAAGCTGCTGCAGCTGATGCCACAGCTAGAATTACAGGGGCCTGACCTAGTACCCACCTGGTTATGGGTATTCTCTTCCACCTATGGGCCAATGGGCACCCCTCCAGGCATGATGGGCCTTTCTCCTGGTATGTAGCCACGAATGGATCCTCCAATGGGCATCCTTCCTGGATGAGAGGCTCCTATGGACATGTCACCTCCAGGAATGCAGAACTTTTCCCCATGTGAGGCCTTTGAACTTCCTCACAGAGTTATGGAAGTAGCATCACAGGAGCATGGGACCAATATCTCAGGGCCATCTTGTTGTGCTGTTGTTTGCAGAGACTCCCTAGGTTCTCTGGTTTTCTTTACAACCCCCCTTACCCCCAGGAAATGCATCTGCCAAGACCCTAGACTCATCTTGGCCCTCCTATGCTCTCTGCTTGTTTCCTGTAAGGCTACACATACTACTTTTTTCCTTGTGCTCCATGAAACTGATTTATAATAATTTATAATAAGCTATTTTAAAAGAATATTGCAAATCCAAAAAATAGACCACAGGTGAAAAATGATGTATAATTTCTGTGATGGTTAATCTTGATTATGAAATTGATTGGGTTGAGAGATGCCTAAGTCCAAAGTCTCTTATGTGACTCAAGATAAGTTCTTAGCTGTGATTCCCAGTAAAATTCAAATAATAAATTACAGAATCTCACAATACAATGGCACAGAACAAATTCCCATTCCAAATGATAGGGACAGGTAAACAGAACGTATTTGGGCCAAAGAAATTCCAGAAACAAGTAGAGCAAACATTAAGTCATGCAGTTCTATGCCTTGCATCCAGGTCATATGGTGGTGAGATGTGAACTTTGGAGAGTTTTGTGGCCCAATTCAACACCCTTCCTGGTTGCAGTCCCCAGTCTCTCCTTTGAGTTTACTCTGCTTTCTGCCTGAGACTTTCCTGATTTCCATGTTTCTGGCATCTCCAACTTCCAGAGGTCTCCATTTCCAATCCTTCACACACTGGTCTCTAAGGGTACATTGTCTGGCTTTTCACATCTCCCTTTCAAATCTGAAACAAAGATTTCATATTCCAACACCTCTTACATTCTGCACTCTGAAAAAAGTGGGCTTATGTGGACAATGCCAAGATCTCATACTAGCAGTAGCCAGGCCCCCTTGAAACATGGAAGCTATGGGTTTGGAGTGATGGGACCTGAGCATAATGAAATGAATCACAGAGACAAATTCCCTACAATGTCCTTGTCAAGCAAGGAACCCAGAGTTTCATCAAACATGTAAAAGGTTATGTTGTGGAAAAGTGGAACAGCTCAGAGCTATAGCCAAGTGTTACAGTTCAGTGTCATAACCATGTGCCACAGCTCTGAGGCACAGCTGAGTGTTACAGCTGAGAGTTTAAGCTCTGGGTCAGAGCTATTGCAATTTGAAGACTCGAGAATCCAAAGGTCATGCCAAGAGGTGAAGAAAGGCCTTTTATTATGCCAGCAGGCTAAGAGGAGTTTGTACTCCAAAGTCTGACCTTTCAATAGAAATGGAAGCCTCCTTGTATAGGGGTAGGTGAGAATCCTCACTGAAACAGAACAGCAGAGTTAATAGAACATTCCTGTAAGGGGGTGGAGCTAACAACATATTCTTGAGAGAGGTCAAGCAGTTCAAACAATCACAAACATTTTGATACATTGGGCCTGAGCACTGTGCAGCACAAACTATTATATTTCTGGAATAAAACATTTTTTTTGGGGAAAGCCATGCAGGCAGCAAGGGCAAGGCAAGACCCTGTATTATTTCTCTTTCATTTATATTTTTGCACTGTTAAACCTATGATAAATTAGACCTTTCTAATTCCTGAGATGCCCAGAAGGCACCTTTCTTCTGGTGCCATTCAGATGTTTGGCCTCTTTGAATAATGCTAAACTTTCAATCAACTGAACCTCTTCTTGCTCCTAAGTGATGTCAGGGGAGGAAAATTTAAGTTTTTTCAAAATGTTTTGTCTGCTTTTAACTCCTGAATTTCTTAGTAAGCAGCAAGCAGCACACATGACCTGACCTAAACACTGGGCAGCTTTAAATTTCCTCTGCAAATTATTTAGGCTAATTCCTTTAATCTCAGCCTTCACACAAAGTTTTAGGACATGGACAAAATGTCATCAAAAGTTTTGACAGTGTAACACAAATGGTGTCTTGTTCAATTTTAAAACAAGTCTTCATTCTCATCTGAAACTTCATGAGCTTGGCCTTTCCTGTCCACATTCCTTTTAGTATTTTAATCTTCTGGGATCTGACCAGAATTATCTATCAGGTCAAGTGTGTTGGCACACACCTGTAATTCCAGAACTCTGGCTATCTGAGACAGAAGGATCAGAAGACCAAGTTCAGCCTGGGAAACTCAGGAACTTAGTGAGATCATGTCTCATATTAAAAATGTTAAAAGGGCAGGAGATGATGCTCAATGTGAAAAACCTGGATTCCATCTCCAATATCAGAGAAAACAAAGAATCTGCTGCCAGGTTGTGCCTACAAAATTCAAGGTCCAATCTACTGTCCATCTAAAAATGTTTGAAAAATAGGCCCAAGCCTTGTGAATGACATGGTCAGGGATACCAATCCAATGCTCCCACTTCTCAGATATTTATATTATGTATTGCTCAGCTTTTCACTTTTCCATTGCTGGAACCAAATACCTGACATGCTCTAATTAAAAGAAGAGAGGTCTATTTTTGCACATAGTTTCAGAGGTTTCAACTTATGCTTGGTTGCCTTCAAAGCAGAAATATCATGGAGGAAGAGTACAATAGAACGAAGCTATTGACTTCATAGTAGCCAAGTAACAGAACATGGGGAAGAGCACCAACAAGAGATACACCCTCCAAAGACACAATCCTAGCAGCCTATCTCCTCTTTCACCCCACCTTCTAACAATACAGCTGTGAATATCAATAGTTTAATTCACCAGTGGATATGGTGAATAGCACTAGGCTAATCCATCAATGAATGTGGTGAGTCCAATGATCCAAATATCTCTTCAATAACATGTTAACTCAGTTATGTGGACAATTAAGATTTACTCCTATGTAAGGAGAAAACATTTGCATACTACATGTCTGATAAGAGTTTAATATCCAAAGTATATAAAAGATGAACCAAAATCAATAGCAAAATCGCAATCTGACTAAGGGGCAGAGATACTGAATATTTCTCAAAAGCACACATTCAAATAGCCAAAAGGTATAGAAAAGGTGCTCAACATCACTAATTATAAGAAAGCAAACTAAAGCCACCATTAGAATACTTCACACATGTTACAAGAGCTACTGTTGAAAAGACAAAAAATAGCAAGTTTTGAGGATGTAGTAGAGAGAACCCTGAGCACTGTTGGTGAGAACGTCCATGAATACATCCACTATAGAACAAATAGAAATGTCTTGAAAATGCAAATATAGATATGACTTATGTCCCAGCTATACCTCTTCTGGATATATCTATATATAAAAAAGAAGTAAATTAAAAACTTGAGAACTTCTATTGACTCTATGAAAATATAATTTTTCATAACTAAAATTG